TGAAGGAATTGGCCGACCGCTCCAGTTCTCAGCCATTGTCAATTCTACTTCAAAGGAAACAAATCCAGGTAAGCATTTAACATTCATAAGTGTACTTCAGATAATAGGTGTAGGATTATTTTTTGTTCGAGTGATATCATATTAATTTCACGTGTCCCTTTCCCAATTTCGCCCAGACTTCTAATTTTTAGGAGACAATGTTTGGAAATCTGAGCTCCAGATAATTAAAAGGGCCGAGATGGAACTTGTAGGAACAAGTGACCCTCCCCTTGTTCGGTTTGGTGGAGAGGTGAAAGGTTGGTTGTCAACCATGTTATCTTTCCACAGGCCGTTTTATACCCTAGAATCATGGAGCACAATTTTATAGACGAATCTTCAATGGACTTGGAGGAAGACATTGGTGTGATGGTCCGTCATAACTACACGCTACATAACAAAGGACCGTGGACTGTTCGCAATGTTTATGCTAAGGTTGCTTATTGATGTTTCTTTTCCGAAGATTTTCTGATTTTTTTTCTGATAGTCACGTTGGTAAAGTTCCTGGTGAAGAGCTGACATTGTTTAGTTTGATTGGCCTTACCAAGTCGAATCACCTCGCCAAAAAGGAAAATGGGCGCTCTACCTTCTCGATGTGCCTACTGTAACGATCTACAACACTGACGGGACTGTGGATATCCGACGGTAAGTTTTCAGTTAGACATTTGCCTTCGAAATGTCCGAAAAAAAGTGGTGCAATAATAACTTGGAGGTTGCCTTTCTGTCTGCATTGCTCTGATTTTGCTATAGAGAAAATGTATGCTTCCCTGTACAAGGAAACCCTTAAGAACATCAAACTACTTCAAAACTATTTGCGTTGGTCTGCATGTAGAGTATAGGAACAGTCCTCAACACTGTGAATGTCGATCCTTATCGATGATGCAGTGTAAAGTTTCATTAGTGCATTTCTCCAACATCTTTCGGTTTTTGTGTTGTCTATCTTGAGCTGTTCAGGGGAACTGCCTTAGATCCTTGTTTTCTGTAAGTACTCCTGTGTCTAACAAGCCATCCCGAAAAATTGTTTCTGCTCTTAAGAACCTCCCAATTATTATTGGTTTACTTAGTAGCAACACTGGTCTTCTAATGCATCCACACCAGTCGCTCCTAGTAAGTTGATTACGGTTTCCATAATGTCGGTTGAGAGATCCTTTTTTCCGTACTCTGACTGGCCAGTTGACTTAACTTTAGCTCTTTCATACTAAAGTAGTAGATCCTAGGGGGAGGGGATTCCACGAACGTAACGCCTCTTACAAATCCATGTTGCCCCATAACATAATCTCTTGACCGACTTTCCTATCACTACCCTTTTGTGAAAACGAATGTCTGCTGGGAAGCAGTATTTCAGGCACTTCAGCAGTGTCTAGTTGATATACGTTGAGGAATGATAAGACAAACTTCTGTGTGCATCCTACCATTTCTTCTTCATCTTTCTATTTTATTCTTGAGTGCTCATTGTCACGTCAATTATTCCCGTGCTTTCAGGTGTTCTGTTGAGCGAAAGCTTGACCATGTGAATCCATTGGATCATATCAAGCTTAACACGAAGTATACAACGCAAGAGACAACACATCAACCACCGGTCACGCGACGAGTGAAGGTAAGCTACTTTCAGTGTTGCTAGACGAATGAGTCAGTAGTTTAAAACACTGTGAATGTTGGTTAACTCTGTCTATTGTAGCGGAACACAGAACAAGTCACAGTCGCGGAGGCCGGTTTTTTGCGTTCACGAATAGAACCTCATAAACGCAAGGAGAATGGTGTCGATGTTTCTGTTGTCACCATTGTGAGTATCTTCATTCACGTAACATCGATGTAACTGTTCATTGTTGACGGAAGTCTGTTCAGGGATGCGCAGAGAAAACAGCAAAATGCTTTACGGTAACGTGTCATTTCGACTTCCTCGATGCAAATTCCGCTCCCGTTGTCGATTTCCGGGCTCGATTATGGAACACGACTTTTATTGAGGTCAGGATAGAATCTTTGCCTGGAATGAGCACTGACTAATCGTTCTTATGCTCATAATTCCAGGACTATTCTGATGTGGAGTATGTTGAAATTGCCTCATATGGAAGAATTGAGTTGGACACAAGCCAAGGGATTGAAGACGACCCCAGCAATAATGCAGTAAGCGTCAAAACGCTGGCATACCCTGACAGACCTGCTCTTGGTTAGTTACCTATTCATTGTGAGAGTCAAGATAGTTTTGTCCTTGTGACAACAAAACTTGTTCAGGATCTCGTCCTGTTCCATGGTGGATAATCCTAGTCAGCGCGGCATATGAAGAATATAGGGACGAAGCGGCGGTGTCTTATTCAGGTCTCTAAGATTCGTAAGGAGTAGCGGGCCGTGGCATTGATGTAGAACACGGATCAAGGCTGCGCGGAACGCCAGAAGAAGGACAGTCTGTTCGGTTCGAATTATTATTCTTATGCAACGCCGATCGAAGGAAGCGGCGAATATAGTAGTGACGCCACGTAAGTGGCGTTGATACGCTGCGGACACGCGAACTAGTATACTACAGCACGACAATACGCGGACGGAACGAGAAACAGTGGAGTCAGGTCACACAGGAGGTAGAGATGGGTGATCTTTCAATAAGTTAATGCCTTCTAGAAAGCATACAGTATCTTCCTGGTATATCGTACAATGCGCACGGCACGTATCTGAACATTGTATGCAACACCCGAGAGAGGGGCCAGTGTTCGGTGTCAGCAACTCTCGAATATCATTGCTGCGTGCTTATAATACCAACGAACTTCGCCAGCTAGCTCACTACTGGTGCGCTGACTGACAGACGCTAGTTTCTGCTTTTTTAGAATATAGTCATCTGCTACGCTCCTTAGTGTACTTTCAATAATCTTCAGCTCAGAGTCACTATACATTTGCACATAAATGGGGTTAAGTACCACTAGCACGGTCATTACATCGGTACAGAAGGTCAATCACACAGAAGCAAAAAACTAAGACGGGATCAATAAAAATCGCCAAAACCGGACAGGCAGAGCCGCGAACGGCGGAGAAAAAACCTCAGCCACGGACGCAACCATCACGTTGTGGCTCTAGTGATTGGCAAATTTAGTATGGTGAGTCACAACATCGTGAGTCGTTAACAATACACTTATGGAGTATATCATATATCTTTCTCATACGCAACTGAGAACAAAAAGTAACTACTTCATCTCTTCATGGAACGTAACGGCTTACGTTTCCCTAAAGCGCGAAGCGAACTGGACGTCAGGTCAGACAAACCCAAATAACCGGAGGAGAAAATTGTTATAACCACCTGCTCACACGCAGCCACCTCTCCAACATAACACGACACACCTATAGTATACTTTTAAGAGTATTCCGCACGAACTCTTTACAAGTCAGCTTCATCACCGGTCTTGGAATTAACTTTCTCTTCGACTGACAGCGCGCACTCAAGCTCATATTTCCTGCTAGCTCCCGGGAACTCAGCGAAGGGATCTCGCGCTCTCGGTGTGGAAGAAATACATAACCTATCACTCGCACCGCCGCAGGAAAGCAGAGCCGAGTCTCTTAAACCGGCACGATCGGATAAAGTCGCATCCATATTCTGATCAAGCTACCTTCCTCTTGAGTACGAAAATGCTGTTTCGAAAAGGAGTGATGCCACAGCCCCACCGCCAGATACCTCGGCTGACGTACACCGGTAGCATGCGCCAATGACACGTAGCAAACTCGTCCTTTCTGCGCAATTGCACAAACGAGCGGCTAGTTCCAAAGTGAGACAGACCCCCCAAGACGCGGAGGTGGCTACTGCCCATGCGTCAGACTATCACCGCTAACGCAAACCTAGGCAATCTTTATCGGTCTACCTACCTGGAAAACGAGTAGTGATGTGAAATCACAGTGACACACGGACAGGAACCAGAAACACAGATTATCCCACACCAGTCGCCGCGCACGCGCACGCAGCATACCGCAATACAACTGAATGCAAGAAAACCAACAATAGACAGAAGGGTGTTCTACACTACAGCTCATGACATTCAAATCAGAAAGACGGCTCAAAGGGAAAGCTTCCATAGACGCAAGCTCTCCAATCCAGAGGTTCATCTTTCCCCAGTAGTGAATTGGATTTAGTTATTTCAGTCGAGCAGGCTGTCGCAGCGACGCAAGCGCTATTATCGTGAACCGCCGCAGCCGGCGAACCTCTGGCAAGGATATCAAGTGCCGCTGCCTCCACCTACTTATGCTTAACTCACAAAACAGAACCAGCAAACCGATAATGATGACTTTGAATTACCCAAACCAAGGCTCCTTCAGCCATTCGCATGCCCGTATCTATACTCTATACTCGTGGGCCTTCGGTGTTTGGACTGGCACAGGTGTGTTTCCGGGTCCACGGGCAGACAGATCTAGCGGAAACACACCGATACTGGGTGTGGACTGTCACATGGTGTTGCGGCCACGGAGCAATCTAGCTGACTATTTCATACTACGTGTTGAATGCCTGCGTCCACTGCCAAAGTAAATCAGTTAGGTCTTGATGAGTGATGCACTGGGTAAGAGACAAGACAATCGTAATTTGCCGCGCTGGTAGGCGTCGCGCCCGCAAGTGACGACGTTTCGTGGCTGTTGATGGCGACAATAGACATTGTATAATCAAAACCAGCTAAAAAAAGCTAAATGTCCGATGTCGTAGTTTACATAGGATGCGATACTCCAATTGACCGGCTAATGCAAACCAAAGAAACGCTTGCCCATCGTCGCGCGCGATGGAGGTTACGATTGTCCTGACCGTCTCCCAATGGCACGCACATGACCTAATTTACAACACTTTCGCAGTGCTCGCCGAAATACGTGACCACATCCCACCACAAAAACTGAGGCGAATTCAAGAGGAAGGTAAAGATTTTGTTGGCTTGTAGTCGTTTTTGTTTGTATGACTTTGACATTAACTTCAAGTTTGAGTTCCTGAGTTTTTTTTTCAGCGCACGTGCCAATAATAGAGCAACTCAAATGGTCTAGTAATACAGATAGAATGCTGACAATAGCAGCGGCCCTAATCGTAGGGTCATTGTGTCAAACTTACCTTTTTATTGCGTATGATTATACTACTTCGGTCCTGTTACCACAAATCTGTCTGTAGCTAAAAGCGCAATCCAGAACACACTGAGTGGTGGCAAAACGCATAAGTCAAGGAAAACAGGCTAGAAGGAGGCAGTACGTACCTTGTGAACCTTCTCCTCCTGATATAATGTGTCTTCCTATACCTCGCGGTTCCCCACTCAAGGGCTGCTAAGAAAAGTTTGTCATTTAGCTCTGTACATGAGGAATGCACAATAATTAAATTTGGTGAGATCCGATCTTCGAACAAGAGAAGCTCTGACATCTAGAACTAAGGAAATATGGGCGCATTTCTCAACTAGTAAAACACTATTATAAGAAATACTTTTCTCCCAGACTAGACAGCCGGAGAAAGAATATCCGGATAGGGAATATCTTTATTGCAAAAAAACAGGCAATAAATAAGAATCCCTGGAAAAGTCCGTCCCTCATCGGTTGAGCTCACAGACCACGTCATTGCCTAGTCAACGTATATATTCCACAGATCAGTTATTGTGAATCCTTGTTTGAGTTGTTCGACTGCTAGCCCCAGTTCTTCACTGTACACTGGTGGTCGTCGCTCTTCAGAAGATGTTCCACCGTCAGAAAAATAGGCCTTGAAAAGTGAGTCTTTGGATAGTATCTTGAACGCTCTTGTTCTCCTACTGCTAGTCGAAAGTGCCAAATCATAGCCGACCCACCGCAAAAGCGTCTGTTCTTAGTTGTCTGTGTTCAGAACCATCGTCCTCTTCTTCTTGTTCGTTTGTTTGTTCCACAGTCGGCTCTCGAGGAGAAGGCTGCAAATAATTCACCTGCTCAAAATTCGAGAACGGAGATGGCGCAGTTCCCAGGTATCTGAATCTCCCCCTATAGTTGAAAACCTTGCGAATCCCAGTTTTCGGTGGGCTACTGGATAGTGAGCTTGTTTCGAACAACAAAAGGTTAAAAATAGGGCTACAGAGAAGTTGGGCAGTGGATGGAGTGTCTAGTGAACTGGCTCCAAGTTTACACTAGAATATGAAGCATGTAGTCATCTCCTATCATTACCGGAACATCCCATGTTTTTTTTTCGCCAAATCCCTCGAGATGGTCGATAGTATGGATCTCACCCTCGCGAACTGTGAACGCTGCTAACTTGCAAGTGCACTGCACCCATATTGAAATTCCCCACTGATGAGCAACAAACTCACAGGTCTGTCCTTGTGAAAGGTGACTCCGTAGATCGGACGAGTATTCGCTGCCTTGTGAAGCGCCTGAATAGCTTTGCACACCTGTTGAAGCCGTTCAGCAGGATCGATTCGGAATCCCAACACATATTCGCCACTCTTAAACAACTTTCTCAGAAGAAATATAATCACTCAGATGGATCAGTAACAACATTAGGTGAGACATGAACATGTTTTTTGAATAAATGTGTCGTACGCACAAGAATCTAATCGCTTTTCCCCGTGCACAACCAAAGATCGTGATGCGATTGGTGGAAGTTCACATTCACACGGTGCGCGGATTCGCACCTGAAGTTTGAAGCTGATTTGATGTGGAATCCTCTGTGTGAATAAAGCTGCCTCGAAAAATACCAGCTAGTTAATATTTAGCCGCCCTGACCAAGGTTAACCTCAATCGATTCCTGAATGCGAGCTGATTTCCTGTTCGCGTGCGGACGAGGCTGTCGTTTGAGGGCCAAGGTTTGGCAGTACTGCGCCGAGCCTGTTTTTTTCACCTGGGCAATTTCGCTTACCAGCTTCCACAACTGGTGAAGACCGGCTACGCCGAACCAAACCAACCCCTCTGGGAAGCCCCACCATCCGCAACGAACAAAACTGTAAATGCAATAGAACACGTGCGGAGAAAAGCAGCGAGAAATCCACCCCATCGAAGGATAATCTTGAAGGAATTTTCTGGTATAAGTCCAATAGTCAAAAAAGATTGAAAAAGAAACCTGAGTAGTGGTTTCGATGACCAGCGCTAGTCCGAACTTGGACTCTCTAATTCGACAGGAATACAGTTGAAGGTACGGTACCGAGACGTTGTACAAGGAATTAGTGCTTGCAAACCACACAAGGCGAACGTTTGTTATCACAAAGCAACCAAGTGTACCCTATCGAACAGCAATTATTTCGTATTTCCAGATGGCAGAAATTAATCACTCCTACCTGATCAGTGCTAAGATTCCACACTCCGTTGACCTTTTCGACAAGCTGCTCCAAAGGTAACAGTTTTAAATTGGAACTTTCATCCACAATTGCGCCTCTCATCTTTAGCTCCCGATATAATTTCGTCGTTTCATATGCACGATGTACCGAATTTACGGTGTTGAACAGCTTCGAATGCATCTGATATTGTTATATATCATCAAGTTTCCTAAGAGATATGCAACCACTAAAGGCGGCTTAGAAGTTCGTTACAAAAACGAAAAGTTGCAAATAATATAATAGATGCGCGATATGCTCATGGACCGACTCCTAGAACTTTTGTTCCTATGGGAAGAGGGGCCAGTTGGATGGTCTCAATCCATGGGTCTTCAAAATCCGTCGGTCGACGTGCCTATTGCCATTGGTGTTCAACTTGACGTCTAGGGTACAGCCATGAAAAGTAAATTATAAGCCATAGTGACGTTGTCCGAAAAGAAGAACGGCAGGCGTTTCTTACATCATAGCAACAACCTCTAAGACCCTGCTTGCAAATCTGAACGGCGCAAAACATAGAAACTGGTTTTGGCTGACGTGAATTCTTTAGATCTCCTTGAGCGCGACTGCGATGACAGGTGGCTTCACCTTGTCGTGTGTTTGCTTCTGAATATTCTTTCATATACTTTACCGTCGGGTGCGGAGCAAACTTCAAAGGCAAGTGGCACGATAAATCCCATGACGTCTACGATTAATACGCCTAACAGGGCAGAAATCGGCGCCCCTAAGCAGACGCTGCGTGGCGCCTTTCCCAAGGAAGGTTTTGATAGGGCGCTATAAAGAAGGCCTTTACCCTTATCGCCCTATCAAGCTGCAACATACCGACCCGGACGCCCACCGCGCCCGCCCGCCCACAAATGTCCGACCTATGCTGATGCTCGTATCGCTTTATTTGCGAAGTACAATATGAAGCGAAGGGATTCATGTGAAGCGACTGGGGTGCTGCATGGATATACGAGTACATACAGCAGTCATAACTACCGCAACGGTTATTGGAACAACGCCAGCGGGGATCTCGTCCAAAATTGCTTTTCTACGACGTGAAAACAAGGGTTCTTTTGCAGGTTTTTAACCGTTTCACTTCGCTTTTTGGCCGTTTTCACCCCATTTACCTAATCGCGTCACCGGCTGCTACCGATTTAAACCGTGTGCGAAACTGTACTGTACGAAACTATCGTGCTTATGCGCTTCAATGAGCACGGCAGGAACGGAGTTTGTCTCTTCGTTCCCCCGCCACGCGTGTTAGTTATGCGCAAGACACTTAAGTGTCTTCACAGCATAAATACAGGTTTCTAGAAATAGAAAGGCACTGACGCTTGCTGTCTCGGAAGTGTCGCTTCACCCTTCCCCGCCCCCCCCTACGCTGGAGATCAGCTAACATTAACGAAATGTGTTTCTAATATCGGCAAGACATACATAGAAACAATTTCGGTTGACGGCCAAAAGGATGAGAGGTTAAGCCTAGAGCCAATTATTTGGAATTGTGTCAGTAGGATGAGGGGGGTGGCTGGTTACGGGCCAACTTGCCACACTGTGATTGCTCGTACTGTCTCTAACCAGCCGAAGATAACAAGTGTGCATCGCAGGCACGGATGCAGAGAGCCCTATGTGGGGAGCGCAGGAGTACAACTATTTTGAATGGGCAGACAACCCCTGGTTTGCCCCTCAGTTGTCCCCGCCCCCCGCTTTCCCCTTTACTGATACGTTGTCGAAAAGATGTTTTCGAACGTGCGTGCATCCTCAGCGGAGCCTCAATTAGAAGTAAAATGGCTCTTATAGCAAGAAGCTCCAAATTTGTATTTTCAAGACCTTTGGTAAGGAATGCCGAAACATCCTGCAATTTTTCCTCAGTCACTACGACGCACACAACTTTCTCCAGCTCCCTGTCACTACTTCAACCGCTACGTATTAGCTATTCTTAGGGGAGCACCGCTTTGAGCTGATAATTAAGAAGGAATATAGGTAAGCAATTTTAACAGAGATAGAGAGCAGCTTACTCCCACTACTTAGTGCATGTGCGCGTGAAAGATGAACTCGAGACTTCGTCGAAGATTGGGAGCGCGAGCCATTGACGTGAGGAGCTTCCACTATCCAGTGCCTGGGCGAACTTTCATCGAACGACCTAGAAATATCTTCAGTTCGAATCATGTGACTGGAAGCCCAGCAGAAAAATGTCTTACTGATGCGACTTCTCGACTCTGTAACCCTGTTATGTTGCTGTATCCAATGGAAAGATTTATTCTTGGCATTGAACTCGCGTACCATATTATTCGTAGATTGGTTATGCGCATAACACCTTCAGAACAAGGTCTTCGAAAAAGTTCGACTTTGAAAAGCACAGAGAAAATAAGAAATATTACTACCGGCCCTCGATCTGCATTGTTCCACTTTGTGTCCGTCGACATGCTCAACGTCGATCTTTTGCATTCGCCAGGAACAAGCCGTCAGCAATTCTAGGAACAGAACTGGGTTTGAGATAGCTGCAAAATTTGAAAAAAAACAACAATTGCAAACAAGTACCACTTTATATATTGACTAGAAATAAGTATATCAAATCTCGAGGAAAGGCTACAAGGCCATGATAGGGACCTTTTTTTCAAGTCTGCCTAGAACTCACACCCCATGAACTGTGTCAGCACAAGAAAACCTGGAGTACGCAGTTGTGAAAAAAAAATAAATAAAAGGTGACTAACCGATGGTCAACATCGAATCTGATCTCCTTATCCTGCCATAATTCATCGCCATTTACTTTCTCGCCAGACATGCAGCAATCTCCTTCACAATGAAGCTACTGCCAGAGTTCTGCCGCAATCTTAATGAAACGTGCCGCCATCGCCATAGCAACAGCCGGGTTTGTGCGAGGGGATATCTTGTGGTAACCCATGAATCGTGGATTGAGGAGGACCTACATATTTTGTAGAATGACCACCAGACATAGACGTATGTGCATCAACCTGCCCATTTTTGAGGTATTGAAATAGATCTTCAGTTGAACACAGAAAACCCACACGCTGAAGAATTTTTTATGTCCAGCGCCCCATAATCAGCTACGACAGAACATATGTTGTACTTGATTATTCGAAGTACGCCAACCAAATTCTCTAACAACTCTCTATATCGACTTCTCAATTTCGCGCTAATACCCATATCAGCAGTTTGATGTGCGTTTATACTTCGAGGCAGTTGCCTTTAAACTAAGCTGCACATAGCCTTGATCGCAGCAGATGTTGGGGTGTGAGGGAGAGGGGAATGGGTTGGGCGCAGCGCCTGCTCGTTTTCCACCCCTGACACGCTCCGGCATCGATGGCGAACAAGACTGACAGTCAGGTCTCTTCACGAAAATATATTTCACGAGGCGGGGAGCAAACGAGAAGCACTGACTTACCATATACCTGGACAACTTCTTAGGAGTAGTAATAAACCACCAGTCCATATCACTGGAAGAGGAAGAGTACAAAAAACTGGTAACATTTTTGCTAATCACAGATTCCGCCCAAAATTTGCGCGGACCCCAAAGGAATCGGCATGATGCCAGCTTAGCATTCATGCCGTAGTTGAACAGGAGTTACAGGAAGAACTAATTGGAAGATGGTCTTATTGAGTGGCAATATTTGACGAAAAAAATACTTTATGTATATTTCCCACTTTATCACAAACCAAAAATGGTCCCAAATACACGCTTGTGAATCCGATATATGTAACTATTATGTGAGGCCATGTGCATGATTATGGAAGCAGTTGAAAGTGTACACGATAGAAAAGAGTACAACCCCGCATAGAGATATGATTTTGATGCAGCTCAACTATAAACTATAGACATGATCAACCGTGAACTCAACAACAACATAGTATATATTTCAGCTCGCGATGCCTTGAGCATACGTGCCACTTGGCGGACGGAAAGGCTGAAAATAATGCAAAAATGGTGACTCGTATTTAGCGCGTATCGGTCTAATGTGAGAACTTGACTTACCTTCGGGAGGAAGTGCATTTGAAAAGGACTGAATGAGTAAACAGCTTTTTCCACATTTTTACGGCAGTTCTCCCTGCGAACACCGTCCCTTCGTAGCGATGCCATCACTTCTTGAAGCTAAACAACTTCTTACTGCTAAGTGGCTTCGGATTCAGCACAAGCACGGTTGTTTCCATTCAATTTAACACATTCAACCGACAGTGGAGGGAACATCAGCCTGGT